GAAAATAAATTCCGTGTTCTAAGATATCGACAAGGTGTGTAAAAATTTAATTGTGCGAGAATTTCTGCCGAATCTATGCGCATTGAAATAATGTCGTTGATGAAGAAAAGCATTGCAAATTGGCTGCGCTCCTTAAGTGTTTGTATATTGATGAGCATGCAGCGCGCTTCATAAGATGGTAATGGAAATGCAGTCCAATTCAATTTACGTAAAGCATATAAAAGGAATTGTTTTTGGACAGATTCTATGCGTTCTTCGTGTATGGAAATGTATGGATTCCATACTAGGTGGCAGTATTCCAGAATTGGCCTTACATATGTGGTATATAAAAGCTTAATAGTGTATGGGTCTTCGAAATTATGACTGAACCTTTTGATGAAGCCTAGCATTCTGTTTGCTTTACTAATGATAGTATTATAATGTTCTATAAAAGTTAGTTTGGTGTCTAGGATTACACCTAGATCTCTTACAATTTTGCTTTTTTCTACTATTTGGTTGCCTAATGATATTTCAATATGTGGTGTTTCAATTTTTCTGCTAAATGCTATTGCAGTACATTTTTTAACGATCAGTTGAAGTAGACTTTTACTACACCAGGTGTGAAATATATTGATTTCATTCTGGAATTCTTCTGCATCGCTAGAATTACTTATTTCCATAAAGAGCTTCATGTCGTCTGCATATACAAGCAATTTTATTTTTTTAAGTAGGGGAATTTACGTATTCTCGTCAATCTAAGCAGCGTCCGAACTTCTATTAGCGATTTCTCAGCGTCACACACATACATGACAGGTTTGTTTGTTGACATTTATCTGCTGCTTGCTGTTCTACCAATTCCAATCGACAGAATTGATCAAAACGGGTTGAACATGTTTTTACAATGCTCCAAACTTCTCAGGTGAGTGTGACTATTGTCGGCAGTCTCTTTTTCTTCGGCACCCTTTCCATTTGAACTGCGTGTTAACCAGCTGTTCTATTATCGGCAACTCGAAATCAGCCGTATTTTGTAGTGTGTATATTTAATTTAAAGAAAAATATGGCATAACGGGATTGCACAGTCGTAAAAATGTAATCAGATTGAAGCTGAAAAGGTAAGGAATCGGCTTAATACATTCAGCGAAGAGTTTTGATGGGAAAATACAGTGAAATTAACGTTTCAATTTCGGTTGCCGAAAACAGTCAATGGGTGCCGAAGCCATAATTTACCCTATGTAGGAAATGTCGTTTATGTACAAAATATAAAGAAGTGGGCCTAAATGAGAACCACGGGGTACCCCAGAGGTGACTGAAATTGGTTCTGAAAGTTTATTTTGAAAGCGAACTATTTGTTTACGATGTGTAATGGTATGTCGATGCGGTCAAATGCTTTACTGAAGTCGGTGTATAGCGCTTCAACGTGCTTGCCACTGTCCAACGCTTTAATAATGAAAGATACATATTCTAGAAGATTAGAGGAAGTTGAGCGACCTTTAAAAAAGCCGTGCTGTTTACTTGTAATTAGATTTTTCACCTGCTGAAAAATATTGCCGTTTACGATTGATTCAAAAAGTTTTGGAATGCAAGAAATAATAGCAATTCCACGATAATTTCGAATGTCTGATTTTGCACCTGATTTGAAAATAGGTACCATGTTGTTTGTTATCATGAAGAACGAGAATGTTCGGGACCTCAATGCAGATTGAAAGAGCAGTGGGGAGCAGGGGTTTTTGACCCGCAATACAAACTTGACCCACCCTACTGTACATATTGCTCCTGGGAAGCCAGCGAGTGGGTGACTGTTTTCGGTAGATCTTGCACCAAACAGATTTTAATTAGGGTTATATCAGGAACAGATATTTGTTTTTCACGTTATTTTTTCTCCACCCTTAAGTAAACCTGAGGCTAATCAAAAAGAAAAACATGGAAGATAGACTACAATTAGTTCGTTGGCAAGATGGGCTGTAGCTAATTCTTGGAACGATGAGTAAAGGAAGGTAGAATTGGTTCGTTAGAACTGTAAATTATTTTGTTGAAACAGAAAAAGATTTGTTGTTTTTTTTCTGCTGACTAAGCGGAACAAATAACAATTTCGCTTGCTTATAAATGATGGAAATGATTTTTTTAGCACGCATTACTGAAAAGTGTCACTTTTCGACACTGTTTTGAATAAAATAATGGCCAAATGTTCAAAACTAAAATAACAGTGCCAAAAAGTACTTCTTTTCAGCATCCAATGTCGAAAAGTTCTACTTTTTAACACTCTAAGTGCAAAAAATGTTGTATGTATCTCGTTGCCAAATTCAATTTTTTCAACACTCGTCGTAATTATCCAACTTGACAAGTCTCGTTGGATAAACTACAACTCGTGTTGAAAAATCTTCTTTTTCAACTTGTTGCATAAAATAGCTGTTTCTTTCTCTGGTCGGGACTTATTCTGCATATCCAGATGTCCTTTTTCTGCTACCGATTGAATCGATATGGTGATAGCATATTTCCATTATCCCGGTGATTCCGGATACCCAGAGGACAATTTTTCGGCCACACAGCAAAGGAATATGCATATTTTCTATATGCTCATGAAAATGCATATGAAAATCATGGTTCTCTAGACCTACTTCCAGGAATTGGCTATTTTGTCGATACTTCCGGATATCTAGAAGACGGTTTCCTGACCACCCGGTACTAGAATCGATATGGTGCTGGCAATTTTTTCCCTTGATTTGATTTTCCGTCGATCTTGTTTTTCGTACTGGGTACCAATGCTACCGACGCCAGGGAGACAGCTCCCACACCTGGACCCTGCCTATCAACCTATCAACTCATAGACCGGGGACCAACGAAAGGCTATACTTCACTGACTGGTCAAACACAGGTCCAATCGGTTCGTTGTCTGTTCTGTTTAATTTTAAAATTTGGTAACCAAATTACCGAGAGCCAGTCATGTCAACATGAATTGATATGCATTTTGCTCGGGACTTTTACGGATTTTTTCCGTTCCGGCTGGCCCAGTACAGGTCCAACCATTCATTCGAAAGGTGGCTGAATCATAATGATTGATCATCGCATTACCAAGAACCAGTCATGTCAACATGCATCGACACGCATTTTGAAGCCTTTGGGTTTTGTCAGTCAATAAAGATAAACTAAATTGCTAACTACTTTGCAATGAATGCGGTCACCATCCAGATTGAATTATAATCCTTAATTATGAGCCTGTGCAAAAATAGTAAAGCTTGATGAAGGTTTAGAACTCTGACTCGTGCCAAAAGGTTTAAGTTTGTATGGAGATTACTAGGCATGAGAGATTTTTAATTTTCTATAATACCGCTCTATCTTTGGTTCTTAAATACTGTTCTAATGCTGACCAAATTGAAATTGTAATATTGAAATTAAAATCAATGCATTGATTTAATTTTTGACGAAGGATTACGTCTTTCGGTCGGGGGTGCAATTAAAAAAAAAAACAAACTCGACCGCGCTACGAAAAGTGGTCAGGTTTTGACCACTTATAACTCTGTCAATTGCAGATGGATATTAATTCTAAACAAACCAATCGATTGAAATGTCATCTACAAATCTGCCAAAATGAACACTTTATCAATTTTCAAAAGGACACTTTTGAAAATTGCATGCATGTTCAACTGTTGCCAAGAAAATTACCACCGATTGACTGCGAAAAGCGCTGTCCCTAGCACAGATTTAAAAATCGAATTCACTCCGGTCTCACCGAACGGTGTTTATTGAATAACCGCTTGTGGTGAGTGGTGGTGTCCAGTGGTCATCATCAGTAGCAGCCGCAGTGCTTTTAGCGCGTGGTATTGTATATTGTTCTACAGTACACGACGAACGGCTGCTCGCAAGTGCGAGCTGCAGCCCACTGAGCGGTCCATTCGTCGAAGAAGGATGAAGAAGTTGCACCACTACTGATTGGATTTCAGTTGCTCGTTGTGAGTCGTTGCTAAGAATGTCACTGTTCCAAACAACAGCTCGCCAGCCTAATCTGTGTAAAACACCTTAATAGCTCAGCATTACTCAACGACAAAATGGTCTATTTCAGGACCACCATAAATTTATTGAAGAGTACTTTCTGGACACTTCTCGCGTTACCTTTCAAAAATAGATCAATCTACATTGATCGATTCTCTCTTTCGTTAATAACTCGTCACTTTGGTAAGAACTTGTATCCAAGACACATCGTCCAGGATTGTCTACATAGACACCGACAGAGAACCTCAAAAACAGAAATCTCAAACTGCTTCCGAATTTGAACATATCGAACTTTTTCACTGATAACGAGTTAAGAAATCAATTTAATATTTACTATACTTTTGCTGTGACATTAAAATTACCTTTCGTAATCCTACGTCAAACTTACGGTCGTGTCTTGGATACAACCTCTTACTTTTTTTCATGATTGAACGTGCGTTTTGGTCGTAGACCGTAGTGAGATGGGGTCTGTTTTTTTTAAGTGCAGAAATAGAAGATAAACTATATCAGTTACAAAGAGTTGGTTGGGTGTAAACGTTACCAAGAAGCGCAGAATCTTCGATAGCGTCTAAGATTGGCACATGACTGGAGCTGTTTTTACAAACTGAGCTTGATTGGATTACATATTCATTGGAATGTTTATCGCCTGTTCCGAGTGATACAATTTAACATTGTCTTCCTTCCTTCCTTTGTGGCTATAATTTGTAGCCTAGTTTGAACGGTTTCCAACAATCCAACTTAGCAAGGCAATTCCCATGCCTTATCACTCCGTAATTGTCATAGTGTGGGGTTATGGATCTTATTTGTATTTCTGTCACGTCTCGTCCCTTTGGCATCAACGCATCGTTCGGCGACGAAGCATAGTGTCGCGATGCTATCAGAGCAGGAAAAGCCAATTTTGTATCGCACCCATTTAGGTGCCCCACAAAAAAAAAGAAAGCAGGCAAATGATATCTGCCGTTTGGTAAGTTATTTTCCGCTCAAATAAGCAATCCCACGCTGCTTGCATCTGTTGTGGAAGGAAAGTGACTTACCTCCTCCGAGAAACGGCGATACTGTTCGTCCTCCGGTTGCCTGGCAACCACCTGTAGCATGGCGGTGTAAGCGTTCTTTGCCTTCATGTTGCGCTCCTCCGTGTCGTTTGTCATAAACCAGGACGGTATCTTTGTGGCAGCCATACTTTTCAACGGGTCACATTGGTAAAGATGGACGAAAGGCATGGAAAATGGCACACATTTTCGTCATTCGGTAAAACGACGCGAGAAAAAGAAAAAAATGAAGCAAATTTAATACTCGGTAATTTGTATTGTTGCTTTTATTCATGCATAAAGTTGCGGTCATGAATAGGTGACGAGAGAAGCGTGATAAAATAATCTTAAAGATCATAATATCTTTTAGCATCCGGCTGCTGTAGAGAGTGTACCCCATTAGGCATAAATACGTTAGGCATACGGACGTTAGGCATACGGACGTTAGGCATAATGGACGTTAGGCATAATATACGTTAGGCATAATGGACGTTAGGCATAAAATACCTTGCTGCTGTGCAACTCTAGAAACCTGCTTAACCTGTAAACAATGCTTAAATTAGGCTTAGCGTTGAATAAAAAATGATACAATTTAAACAAACATAGTTTATTTAATAAGCACAGTTTGGAATCCATTATTTATCATATCATAAGTAACGTATCTACATATTTACTTAGATCCATGATTAGTAGCGATAGTGGTTAAGTAATCTTACAATGAAAACTCAGCTTAGTTTTGAACTATATCTTGAAATCAATCGCACCTAGAAATAAAAAAATCACACATTTGTTGTAATATATTCTTACACACATATTGCAAAAGTCAAAGAAGAAAAGGTTTTCCTCAAAGAACAGCTCATGAAATAAAGAATGGTGAATTCTGTGATTTTTCATTCAATAACAAAAAAACAGCCAAGGTTGAATAAAATATGATGCCAAAGAGCAGCTCATGAAATCAAGAATGGTTAATTCTGTGGTTTTTCATTCAATAACAAAAAAACACACCTGCTGCTTCCAGGATTTCCTGCCATACATTTCGATACAACGATTCTGATTTTGTTGTCATCAGAATGAAAACTAGCAGAACCGTCTGCTGATGTGAGGGAGCGATACTTCCATGAACAGTGACGAGTTGCCGAAACAAACAAGGAACTGTGGCAAACGTACCATCTGTAACCCAATACTTTGCCTGTCCAAGACGTCGTTCATGAGTTCCAAAAATTAAGGCTCTTTCATTATTGTCACCGAAGTCAGCAATCAATAGACGGTCTCCATTATCATCCTTCTGGAATTCATCCGGTAGATTATGCCTAACGTCCATTATGCCTAACGTCCTTTATGCCCAACGTCCATTATGCCTATCGTACATTATGCCTAACGTCCGTATGCCTAACGTACGTATGCCTGACGTCCGTATGCCTAACGACCGTATGCCTAACGTCGTGCACCCTGCTGTAGACGTTATGCGTACACGGTGTGGAAAATTAGAACCTAATGAAACAAAGTAGAAAAATGGAGCTTGTTTACCTGCTGAAAATGTCGATATTGAAGAACACGTATTCACCGCTATCTACCATGTTGAGCTCGGCGGCTGCGAGCATAATCTCCCGAATAGTGGCAGGACTAGCACACATTATCACAACTAGAAAAGAAAAAGGAAAAAAAAATGATAATATTAATATAAAAAGGCATTTCACATTGATCATATATTTTTTATGTGATGTGGAATGATGCCGATGGAATGTGGAACATGATGAAGTTGAGGAGATGAGATTGTTTTTTGGTTGATAGTTGGTACAAAGCCTCAGCTTTAATCTTGCCATCAGTGAACCAGGTTTGTGTTTATTGTAGAATCAAGTGTTGCACACATCTTTTTAATATGTTTTAGATAAAATAACTTGGTATTTGGTACGTTTGCTTCGATTGGTCCTGAAATCTCATTAAAAATTTATTCTTTTATTATTTGAGAATACTAACAAAAAGGTTTGTTTAAACGAGATGTTGATAGATATCAAGATAAAGCTTAAAAGCATTTCAATATGAGACTCCGATGATTGCTTTGACGAATTTCTCATTTAAAAAAAGTAGATAGGGGAAAAATCTACTTCGGCCTAATCGCCCATTCCAGGCCTATCGAGCACAAAACATAAAATATATCTATGATTTTGGCGTGAACGTGTCAAACAAACTTTTGGTACGATGCTTCCATTCATTAACTGCAAGACGAAGTGTTGAAGAACGGAAAATAAGACCTCGCAAACAAAAGGCGCTCGCGGATTCACTTTTCTTTCCGTTCGATAAGCCAGGATCAGGACTAACGGTACGTATGGAAAGGTAAATAAATCTGTAATAATAACATTCCGTTTGGTGCTTAATTCGCAAAATTAAGAAAGACTAAGTATGGGCTGTGCTTAATAGGCAGGAATGGGGTAGTTAACCCTATTACATGATTTATTTTATTTTATTTTAAGATTTGTCAGCCAAATAAAATTTAAAATAATTTCAATTTTATTTAACTGACGTTTAATGCCATTCAATATCAGGATTCAAACAAACGGTCATAGGGTTGCAACGATTGATGTCTGTTGGATCAGTGCGCCGGTCCTTTAATCGGTGCTGGCGGCGGCGTGGAAACCATTTTTTGCCTCGGTGACGGTGGTGTACCGACGTGAAGCCGTTGACTCTAATCGGCTGCGGTGGCGGCGGCGGCGTTAGCTGTAAAAATGTCAGATTTTAACCTTCAATTCAGACCAAAACCAATTAAATACCTTAATCAATCCGAAGACGGTGGATTTTTTTTTTTAGAGACTTTCAGCTACGAGGGTTTGATTAACAGTCATCGAACGCCAAATTTAATTTGTGGACTTACTACAACATTCTTTAGGGAGCCTGGCCACTTGCTCAGGTGTACCTGCAACATGTCTGGATATGAACAATGTAGTTATGGATACTCATATTATGACTTCTATTAATCTTGTGTTTGAATTATCACGCGATATATTATGGCACTTCTAGTCTCAGAATGCAATCAAAGTGTTCATACGTACTACTTCATACGTGAAGTATAAAATTTTTTAGAGTTGGGAGGAAATGCTACACTAATATCAACATGAAGCTTTAGTGCTATAATTGATTAGCTAGAGAAAGTTCGCTAGAGTACGGCAGTGTAAAAATTTAACAGAAATTGAAATTGACCGAAGGGTTATTAATACTAATCATGCGTTACTGGCATTATGGTCGATCACCGAAGCCTAGTCCGAACTACTTTATACTAAGGAAATACATCTTAGTCCTTTTCACTTTTTATTTGAGTGGTGTGTCGACCACTTTCAAGATAGTTTGTTAGAAAAATATTAATTTTCTTGTCTTTGTTTACATTCTCTCACGCCGCTCACAAATGGCACCTTTTTCACAAAGCAAAATTGAAAATTCGTTCGTGACTTTCTCATTATGCACTCAAATTTGTATGCTTTGTTGATTTTTCCTTAATCAAAGGAACACATTGTAGTACTTGTTATTTTTTATGCCTTGTTAATTGTAACAAGACTCGTAGATAATGCCTGTTTAATTTTGAAGCTAATTTAAATTAAATTTAAAATTAATATAAAAATTTCTTGAAACAAGGGATACTTTTGAATAAGCTTCACTGGATAAATTGCTCAGCGCTTATCTACTATACTGTCCATAATCGCATATCAGTCGCATCTTTGCTTGATTCCCTATCCATATGGAACAGTTAAGCGGTTATGAGCAGTATAGTGCAAGGTAAAAGTGGTTGATGCTGATATTTCTTAATGAACTCGGTGCAAGTTGCGAATCAAATGGACTTCCCGAGTAACAATTTCTAGTTGGAGAAACGCTTTCGTTTTGATTTTGGTCAGCTGCATGATGAATAATAATTGCACAATTTGTTTACCACAAGTTCTGTAAAACCGTTGTTCATACTGGTTTGGAGAATCTAGTCAATTGTAACACAAAACTTTTATAGGTTTTATAGGTATTAACCCAAAACAACAATCTTTTGTTGAAGAAACGCTTTCATTGTGATTTTATTCAGCTGCATGCTGAATAATAACAGTAAAATTTGTTTATCACAACTTCTGTAAAGCCCTTGTTTACACTGGTTTGAAGAATCTGTTCAACTACAGTATCATAAGTATACGGTAAAGGAGTAGAAACATATTTTATACAACGTTTATAGATACATATTTAAAGTCAAGCATTATTATTTTGGTGCTCTTATATCACGTTTGTGGACACTTTCTAACAGCTGCTTCGAAATTAAATAGAGAGTAAAGCTAAAAGGCGTTTGTTACACTCTTCCATGACTCCCAAATTACACTAGTTTACAGCATTTTTGAACTCGGTAAGGTGATGATCATTTCCAATGCAAAATCCTACGCTGAATTTAATGCCGTGGTCAGAAAAAATTAAAGTAGAGCCATTTTTGAAATATACAAAAATTTTGTTTTTTTGAATTTTGGACAAAAGTACGATTACTAAAATGTCAATATCTTTGGAACTAGTGCACCAATTTTAAATCTTTTTTTTTATGAAAATGAAGCTAAATAAATTTGCTATCGTTCACTAGAATATTATGTCTTAATTAAAAATTTAATTTTGAAGTCATTTAAAAATTTACAGCATTTATTTTTATTTTTCCTGCGAATTTTCCATAAAAATCTTGTTTTAATCAACATTTTTAATGAGATAAAAAGATTCAAAAAATCATTCCATAATTTATTCTTAAAGTCCATTCAAAACCGGAGAAAATGAGCCTTTAATGGATGAAATCGGTTGGAAATTGTCGAAGTTATGAAATTTTTTGTAAAATCATGGAAATTGAATGTTCCAAGATTGGCCGTTGTCCCGCTCCTAGGTTCATGCACCACTTCCAGTAAGCCTTTTTGCGGACGATTGATTTTTTGGATCTTTTTATCCCATTAAAAATGTTGATTAAAACAAGATTTTTATGGAAAATTCACAGGAAAAATAAAAAAAAATGCTGTAAATTTTTAAATGACTTCAAAATTAAATTTTTAATTAAGACATAATATTCTAGTGAACGGTAGCAAATTTATTTAGCTTCACTTTCATAAAAAAAGATTTAAAATTGGTGCACTAGTTCCAAAGATATTGACATTTTAGTAATCGTACTTTTGTCCAAAATTAAAAAAATCGAAATTTTTGTATATCTCAAAAATGGCTCTACTTTAATTTTTTCTGACCACGGCATTGAATTCAGCGTAGGATTTTGCATTAGAAACGTTGGTCAACCACTAAAGTTCACACTTTTTATGTTGTTTTGTAAACTAGTGTTATCATTATACAGCAATCGGTGAAATGCGTTTATTAAACTTTTAATGACTCCTTAATGACCGTTGTGTAAGCACTCACAGTTAAAAATTAATTTAAAAATTGTCGTGGATCGCCAAAATAAGTGCTTGTGCAATTTTTACTATTCTAATTTATTTGTGCACTTTGAAAAAAAAAGTTATTATGCAATAATTCGCATTCTGTGATGATGAAGAAACAAGCATTTGCTTAATCTTTGATTGATTTATTTTATAAAGGAACTTATATAGAAATTAAATCGTTGATTGTATTATATGTCTTAATTTAATGTTTGAATTCATTAATAACATCTAAACATAATTTACCTCTACTGCGCCAAGTGTTTCTCGAAGCAAGATTCGAATTCAAGATCTTGGATTGCCGGCCGCTTCTGTTTCCATCTGTTCTATTCTTGATTACATATTTTGATCTATGAGAGAAGTGAAGCTCATCTTGAGTAACTTCTCCTGCAGTTCAATAATCTTTGCTTTAAGGTCATATAAACGCAGGGGAGAATGGTACATAGCGCACCCTCGGGGTAGAACGCACCCTCGGGGTAGAACGCACTTTTTAATTTTATTTTGAGTTTTTCTAGGCATTTTTAATCCAATTCTAGGATTTATAAACAAAATTGTGGTTGGTATTTATAATCCAAGTCGCGCAAGTACTGCAACAAAGTTTTATAAGTCATTAAACATCATTATCAAAATTGATTAGGCGTTGTAAAACGGCTTTACAATAATTGAATAAATGCTTAACAAGCATATCTGGAAGCACTGTTCGTTGTGAAGCTGTTAACCTGTATGTCGATTTAACTGTGGTGCTATAAAAGTTATCGTGGGTCTTATCAAGAATATAGTTAAACCAAATGCAAACAATCATTCAAAAATGCCCCATGCAGTTTTCAAAGCTTTTAACCAAATGAAAATACAACTAAATTCTTGTTCAACTCTGGAAGCTATTATTCAACGTTTGATGAACTCTGGTGTTTTATGAATGCTTTCAATTGTTTGTTGGAATCCCGTATAACACGTTTATTAGGCAATAGAACCACATAACTATAATGATTTAATATGAGTTGCTTAGATAGCTTGTATAAGTTTCAGTACAACCTGCATGACAGCAACTTTTAGTGCAGTTGAACAATGTGTGCAGGGATAGTCATTTAAACTGTATTTTAAGATCGTATTAAACTCAATACATATGTTGCACAAGAGAACTCTTTTTGGAGTATAATGCTTTTATTGCACGCTCTATACAGCTCTTGTCAATCGGTTTAACTGAGGTGCTATAAAAGGTATCGTAAGT